AGCCGATGCAAACGCGAGAGGACGGGGCAGTGGAGGAGCGGAGGACCAGTCAGCGAGGTGGGAGGGGGGGGGGGGCAGCAGAGGAGTTGTAGGTGAGGAGCGGCGAGGAGGAAACAAGGAGAGATGCGTACGCAAAGGAGAGGAAGATGACATACCTGAGGGAGAGTATCCAACGGTGAGGCTATACGCAATCGTGCGGCTGCAGGCCGACCGGCCCAACTTTGGGCCGGCGCGCCGGCGCCCAGTAGTCGTCTTTTTTAAACATCTTTCAAGGAACACAAAAGAACATATCTTCTGTCATAAGTGTAAAATTCAAGTTAAGTCACTATTTGATGAACCTGTGTGGTTGTACGCTTGCACCGACACTGATAAAAACACCGGTTTAAAGAGAAAACAAATATAAGACGTTTCAGATCACTACTACAAACGGAGTAATCACTATCTTTTTCCCCGGGTTCTCTTTATTGAAACTATGTGTACAAGATAAATCACTAAAGTAGTGATATAAACGCTTTTATATTTCTTTACGGAGGGAGTATTTAAAAAAATGTGTACAAGAAAAACACAATATACTAGTAGCAGTAGTTGGTGTTGCCAGTGATCCAATCAAACTAACGTATTCGAAGATCAGAAGATCAATATAAAGTCACTACCTTTTCCATTTGCATAGGGGTGGCACAATGTATGCATCTAAGTTTGTTTTTCTTTTTGAAAAGGAGGAAGATCCCCAGCCTCTGCATCTAGACGATGCATGAATCCACTTTATTAATTATTCACAAAAGACCTTACAAAGTAATGCAGCAATAAGACTGAAGCCACCATCTGCCCTCCTGCGCGAGTCCATCATCCATCATCGCACATCAGACGCCTAATCTCCAGGGCGCCATGCCGTTTAGATCGATCGCCATCAATGTGTATGATGAAGCACCGCTCCACCGAAGATGTCCTCAAGAATAAATATGATGAAACACCGCTCCACCGAAGATGTCCTTAAGAATAAATAGAAACCTAAATTCGTCTCCGTGAGGATTTGAACCCATGTGTTGGGTTTGCACATCCACTTTCCAACAAGTTGAGCAAACCCAGGGGTCGTGGTTTGTATATCTAAGTTTGTGGGAATGCCTATGTTGCAGGTCTGAGTGTTCTCATTATTTCTAAGTTATTCGTGCGACATCAAGCTTTAACAGTAAAACAAGTGCAATTCTGTTGTGCTATTTGTTTGCTATTAGCATCTGAAGTTCATGCTTTCCATTTCTAAACATGTACAGAGAAAAAAGCACCTGAAGCCAACTTTAACAACAACTTTAATAGTGAAGAACAAACTCATCTATCCCGCAGGCAGCCAGATTGCAGTAGTGTGCAAGAGAAAAACTTGAACCAAATTGAGATCAAGCATCCCGAGGTGATCGGCCACTACCTTGCGAGATCCCGCGCCAAATCATTACAGACTTATGCTCGGTTGCTTCCTTGACGAAATTTACCTCCACCTTATATTATAAAGCACGAACACCGATCACAAGGTAACTGCTGGCGCGAACGGCACATCAAGCCCAAAAGGAAAAAAAAAGACAAAAATGCCAACAATGACAACTTGACAAGCACGGATGGTCCGCCATCACTGCGTCCTCCATTTACGTCCCACCACTCGCCCTGGCACTGGACCGCCGCGTACCAAACAACGCCTTCAAGAAGGAATGCGACGCCAACGACGCTGCTTCCCGGACAAGTCATAGAGTTTTCCCCGGCACGCAGAGGGGAGCGGGGGATGGGTAGCACCAACGCCCTTCAGGAAGGAATGGCAGCACCCACCGGCATCACCGCGTTGGAGCCAGATGAACCGGCAGGGATTTCTTCCGCACCCCCATGCCCCGGCACCCACTAGAACGGAGCCATCCCACCATCTTGCCACCCGCAAGCACGCGCCACCACGGTCTTGGACCCATCCACGCCGTCCCGCTGTGAACACCACCACGAGGTCTAAGAGAGAAGAGGCAAGAAGCGCCCAAATGGTACGGGCGAAAGCACCGGAGCTGAACGGGACGGAACTACCTCCACCGCCGTCGTGTTAGAGGTCTCTGCCTCCAGCACCAACGCGGATTGCCGACCAGACGCCGCATCCGAGGCAAACCAGGCTACCCGGGCTTGGCCGGGCCCATATCGGGACCGCAAAGCCCCGACCACCGTGCTGCTACATGCAGGCAACCGAGCCACCACCCGCCACCAGCCCGACGCACCTTTACCGCCTCCCGAGAGCCACACCAACG